TCAGTAACTTACAAGCTAGGCCTATGTCCCTCCCCTCCCCTAACTGTAACGTTGCATTACTGACCCACCTATGTTGAAAGCATGATCGTCATAAACAGCTGACTTTCCTAGGATAAGTTCATGATTAACAAAGTTTGTGAAGAGACAAATTAAAGACATATACCATAAATAATATCTACTACATATCAATTAAAAATATTTCATATTTCTTACAGAATAACAGATGAACCACAATAGGAGCAGCAAATCATTACACCAGGGTTCCTACTAATATAAACTATAGTGAAAGTAGATTTTTAGGAGCACATAATGCTAAAAAATGATCACACTAGGATGAATTTTCTGGTGTTAATGGCATAAGCCAGGGAAATTCAGACAAACATTTTGTGGGTTTCTGGCTATTTTTGATTTCGAAATGTTTGACAATCTCAGAAGAGTTCAAAAAGGAAAGAAAATTTGTCACATTTCAAACCAACATATTGAATCAAGTAAATTAAACTATGATTCTCAAACTGCTCGTATAACTGACAGGCCCAAATGCATTTTAAAAAGGGGGTCCGATTCCAGCCCCCAAAGGCCGTGAGCATCTCCTCCCTCCCTAGTTGTGTGCCCTGATAGCTACCCACAATCAGCAAACAGGAACAGAGCTATACGCTCCTTTTTAAACACACATAGTAGCTTTTGTGGCTAAATTACTCAATTCTTAAATATGTATCGCTCTGAGTTTCACCAGTTATTTTTACCACGCCGCTCTTGATTGGCATTTACTGCTGAAAAGCAGTAGTTTTCTCTTTCTAAAGAAAACCCTGCCTCAGTCGTAGACAAAAACTAAAAGGGCAGCCCTACTAATAGTGATCTAAAGTTAATACAAAAGTAATTAATATTCCAGGACTTCTGCTGGTGTCGTTCATCAAAAAGGATGCCATGCGGGCAGGCGAAGTCATGTGAATACAGGCTTTCATGTGAGCTCTACTGGGTGAGGCATGAGAACGCGGACGACAAGACACAGCTCATTCTGCATCAGCTCCCTCTGCTAGCAGTTACTTTTTTTTTTTTTTTTTTTTTGGCTTTTTGGGGTTTTTTTTATTAAAATTTTTTTTTTTAGAG